TATATAGAAATACATACAATTTGGTTAACTTTATTTTGTCCATCGATTCTGGAAAGTGACGAATTTGATGAGTGTTTGTGGTCGATGTGATGTCTGGCTTTGGCAACGGGCGCGACACCTGATCGCTCAGCGTTTTCTTATGCTTTTTAGACAGTTGTTTGAATGCGAAAGTCCAGCAGTATTTGCCAAATGGGGAACGGATTATACAAACAGTCTGTTTGCTATTCGGTTCCAACTGATCCAAAACGGCTAACATTATCAGGTTATCGCTCACGAAGTACTTGAACCGATCGCACGCCGACTCATGCGTCCAATTGTTTCCGATTGACATATACTTTAATAGATTGGATTCGTCTATAAGACTGGAGCCGATTATGGACTCTGGAGGGCACGGACTCGGAGGACAGTTGTTGAAGTGATTCATAAGGAGTGTTAGTAGCGATTCGGCCGCTTCTCGCACTCTCATTGAGGCGGGCTTTAGCTGCTTATCGGCTTTGAATACGAATCCATTCTTCTTGGACTTTGAGCCGGAAATACCCAATTCGATGACCTCTAAGAGCATCGAGTCATGGAATGGCTGTCCGACAGGCCGTAAGACACGCGAGACTTCCGATCGACGAATCCATTGAAATGACACAAAGAAGGGTTTTGGCTGTTAATCACGGTTTGTATTGAAGACATCACTTGTCAATGAATTGTTAATTAATTGTTTGTTTTAATATTTTGTATTTAGTGTTTGAAATCATGTCATTTGCATCCAATGGTTCCACTCATGATTGGAGTGATATTTTCAAGAAAGTGATTCCCTTAAGAAAACTTAAATAATGATCGCTTTTTTTGTAGCAAAAAATGTTTTATTGTATTTTTTGTAATAAATAATTTAAGTTTCAATTTATTTGTTAAATAAAGTGTTGAATCGATTAATGAAAATTTATTTTGGGAACAATGAGGAAGCGATCAAAGACTCCAAGAGTTTAATGGACTTGTCCTCCGTGTGAACCAATTTATTGAGACATTCATTGGTCGACTGTTCCTTCGAAGTGGACTCGAATTTAGCGATCGATAAGATCTCTGTGAACACGAAATACATGTCGAAGAGGTCCTCATCCATGCGATCGTTCATTAGTTCTGTCTCTTCTTTAGTGGGCTTTGGTTTCACTTCTGCCGACACAAAGTCTGTCAACTTTACCGTCAGATTCTCCTCATTGTTGTCAACGGCTATAAAGAAGAGAACGTTTGATGGTTTGATCCGCGAATGAGTGACATTATGTTTGTGCAAATACAACAGACACTGAGCCAACGCTTTGATCCATTTCATGGCCAACGGGTAACTGATCTTCTTGTCCTGTTTCTTCTTCAGTCGGATCAGTTGTTGAAGATTTCCGTCCGCGAGTTCCATGAATAGGAACCACTGGTTGTGATCGGCCAAAGCGATGGCACAGTACAGCTCAACGATGCCGGCGAACCGGATGGCCATCATTGCGTTCACTTCGGTGTTGACCGCCTGTCGGACACTCGCGACGCCCAGTCGTTGGCGAACAGAAATGTTCACAAACTTGAGGGCAAACTTTCGGTGATCCTCTGGAAGTGCCTTCGGTTGACACGAATCGCACTTAAAATCCGTCACAAACTTTTGCGCTTTGAATGTCTCGCCGAAGCGGCCCTCATATACGGCCCCGAACTCCCCCTTTCGGATCAGTTCGCCGATTATGATCCCAAATGAAGCGAACATTTGTTTAGTCCCCTCCGGAATCACTGTTGGATTATCCGCTTCCGAAGACATCTTAATCTCTTAAATGAATAATTCTTGACAACAAATTGCAAGCGTTTGCTATTCAAACATAAATCCGTTAGAATTAATCTTAACCATTGTTGCAGTCATTACTAAATGCATTATAAACTACTGTATTGTTACGAGTTATGCATAAAAAGTTGTAAAGAGTTGTAAAGTAAGAATATTCTTGAAAATTGTCGCAATTCTTGCATTCAAATGTGTGAGAATGCAATTGAAGTGATAGTGTATTACAGATGGCAGTGAAGACTGACCACTAAAGACCAAAATGGATGAGTGAATGGAGTGGACAGTGATGTGAAAGCCGGGCCACTATTCACTGTTCAACACCTATAGGCTATACCTGTATTGCAATGAGTTATGCAATCAAATGATTGCATGTAATAACTGTGAGTCCCTAATATTGAGTGCATTCTCGACACACTTTTACACTGAAATAAGTGGTGAGAAATTGTTGGCTAAATATTAGAGGCGTTTAGGCATACAGTGTGTAGACGTCTGTAGACGTGAGACATAAACACAACAAACACTCAAACGATATACACATCGAAAATAACACTTGTATTCAATCCAACAATTGATCCACAATTTGGACACCATTTCGCCCATCCATTCACTCCAAGCTATCGTCTTATATATCCACCATTTGATAGCTCATCCACTCATTCATTGATCCATCGCTTGGTTTTGATGATCACCAGTGAAGTGATGTGTGCGAAGAGCTGAACGCTTGACACCAATACAAACACTGGTATACAATGGTTATAATGGTTGCGATGAGGAAGTGATTGCGAGGACAACGACAGCGACAACAATGAACGGCATATCGTCGACGCCGACGCCGAAGTCGATGTACACGGAGTGGTCAGTGCTTCGAGTGGTGGAAATGTGCGAATCCAGTCGCGTATCGGTTGTCCACAAAATGCCACAAATCAATGGCACACTTCTGGTCAACTCGTGTGTCAAACCGTTGGCACAGATGTTGAACAACGCAAACACAGCCACCGTTTCGTCGATGGATAACGACTTCTTGCAGAACGATCGCGACGTCCTCTGGATTATGGAAGTGCTGTGTTATGGCCTCTCTTTGCCCATGTCTTCGGGCGAATCTTCGGACTGTGTCCGCGATTGCGTCCATATATACAGCGAATGGTTCCACGCGTTGAGTCCAGAGATGTCTAAATCGAAAGTCATTCCGTTTCCCATTAGAGACGACCCGAATCTCTATTGCCGTAAAATCTTGGAACACATTTACAACATATTCATCTCCAGACCCGTCGCCACCACCGATGCCAACCTCTTGGACGGCATAATCCAACGCCAGAGTATGTTATGTCACCGACTGTTGCGAACCGTCGAGAGTGTGGTTCAGGACGCGAATAACGTGATGGACAGACAGACGTGGGACACACTTCTCATATTCCTGTTGGCCATCAACGACACGCTTCTGTCGCCGCCCGTCGAGGCCAACGACATCGGGACACAACTCTGCGAACGAATCATTAGTGTGTTGTTTGAGATCTGGTTAATCGCTTGCGTCCGATGTTTCCCTTCGCCATCGTTTTGGAAGACATTCCAACACTTGAGCACTGGTTGGCGACACAGACCGCCGCTCGTCGACAACTGGAACAGAATTAACTACTCGTTGACAATGCGTTTAGTGAAACACATGTCTCCAAACACTTATGACATTAACGCCAATTCTCCCACTCATAACAAGAACACATTGAACGAGATCTTAGATGAGATGAACGAAGAGTCACTCAAACAGTGTTGGTATCGATTCCTACACACAATCGGTAATCCCGTGGACTTGTGTTCGCCGGAGATAATCAGCAAAACCGATCGCTTCTATCACAGCGCCTGTGCCTCGGAGAACGTGGTCGACCCGCGACAACACCCGTGTCTTAATAATTTGCCGCATATTTTCTACAAAGCGATGAAAGGTCTGTCTATTCTTGTGGACACATTTCTGGGTATACCAGTGACTGTGGAGGAGATCGACGCCGACATGTATAAGTCGACGACATCGTTAACCCTATCGGCCGCGAGCTCTACACAAACGCCGCCCACACCTCCCGAGAAGCGCAGAGATTTCGCGCGATTTAATTATAATAAGCAAAACCCACAGAAGTCATTGGCGCCCACGAAGAGTGTAAATGTCAATAAAGTGGAACCAATTATTACTCCCTTACCGACCATTATATACCCGTCGGCGCCCGACTATATTCTGGCGCCAACGCGACCCAAATCGACCTCTATTTTGGACATATTAGGCGATTGGCTCTTTCAGGCGGCGCTCTACGGGTCGGACCTGAAAGAGAAACACGAAATGATTCGGTCGAGTAGTAATCAATCGTTTACTCAATTAAATGAATTACAACGCAAACCATCGGCAGCTTCTGATCGCATATTGATTGAAACGCTACCACTTCTGAGCGCCGAGAGCTTCGAAGCGGGTCAGGCCGAGGCCATCGGCGCTCTCTGTCGGCTCTTCTGCTTCAAAAAAGCGGACGAAGAGATCTCCACAATGCTTAGCAAACAACCGCATCCGCCATCAGTACAAAAGGTAATGACAATTCTTTGTAATTATTTATTTGAATGTAATGTTAATATTATTTTATTGTAGAAAACTTTACAAATAATCTATTTTTATGTACTTTTAGGTCAAGAATTATTTAACACGTTTTCATTTAGCCCTTCAGTTCGGACTATCGCTCAAAGAAGTAATTATCACTTGAATTGTTTGTATTTATAAATGAATCCTAATATAAATGTTAATATTGACAGCCATTTCGTCGCCAAATAATTGCGAGTATTCTTATAAACTCGACCAAAATGTTTGAAGTAGACCTCCCGGGGGGTAGTCTTTTGATTCCTCATTACTTGAAAGCACTGGAGATTTATTTGATTCCAAAAGAAAAGCTAAAGTAAATAATGGTTTTGATTAATCGCTTTAAATTGTATTAATTGTATTTTAACCGATAATTTTAGCACAAAACCCGACGTCGAGATTCGCCGGTCATGTATTAAACTATTGTTATCGCTGTTCTCATATCCGCTTCACTTTAACGAACTTCCCATTAAAGGTATTTATTGTTTGCAAATATGGTTTCTAATGATTTCTATGCGACAAATATGTGATATCCGCGACAACTCTGACGAGAATATGAGTTAAATATTTATGACTTGTTTTTGTTTTGAATGATAATCGCAGAGACATTGAGTGAAAGTCCGTCGACAACATTCCAATCGCTGCGCCCGCGTCTCATCAATCTTCAAATCCAAGCGCTTTGCGGTGAAACAGACTCAACAAATGTTCAAATGATTTTAGGCAATCATAACCAGAGCTCTTCATTCATTGAGATATATTTATAATTATTATATCATTTATTTTTAGGCGGTTTTCTGTTAATGGTTTCCGACGCCGCAGTTCACGACTGTTTTACTCAAATCGATTCCATAGACACCAGCATTGAGACGATGAGATCAAATTCATTGAATGGTCAGTTGTTTTTTGTATATGATTTTGAATGCAATAACCAATGAATCCATTTATAGACAAACCTTTTTTGATTTTTAATATTTTACCCAAAAATTGAATACAAATCCCATTTAAAGAGCAAATGAGATCTGAATCGCCAGGACTTCAATTCGGACAACAGTTTTTCCATCAAACGAGTTGTGACTCAAGTCTGGTCTCAAATGATATCCCGTATTCAGACGACGGGAAAGGCATTCCTGGTATTAAAGTTTGGTCTTCAATAGACATTTCGCTAAACATTTTGTTCTTAACACTAATGGCATGGCTTTCGGATCTGTTTCTCCAATCACTAGACTTTCCCTTAATTTCTGATTTAATGCAAAAACTATATTTTGTTTGCAAACACTTATATCCTGTGATTTGTCTTTAGACACAGCGAAAGGACTGTTCGGTCGGACGCTTTCACATGTGGGACAAGTGCTAATCAGATGTCGCGATAAAAACCAATACGATTCGCACGTTTCGTTGGCAGCTCTGGAAGTGTTGTCAGCCATCGGACGAATCCATTTGTCGAACGGCTCGAAGAGCTCTCAATACACGAATTGTGTGCTCGAATGCAAAGAGACAGTGAAGCAGATCTTCTCGTTCATTGAGAATCAGTGCGAAAAACCGGCGCCATTCCACTCGAAAGACTTACATTCCACGATTGTCGCCGCCTATCAGTGCCTCGCCGTCTGGTTTCACGAACACTCACACCTTCTCAAGGAAAAGGACTGCATTTCGATGCTCTTAGAGGTCATCGAATTGGGTATTTCCGGCTCAAAGTCCAAGAAGAATGGATTCGTATTCAAAGCCGATAAGCAGCTAAAGCCCGCCTCAATGAGAGTGCGAGAAGCGGCCGAATCGCT